GAGAAGAATCCCAAGATAATGGCATGGACCAGATCTTCAACAGAATCGTGGAAGAAAATTTCCCAAAATTAAAGAAAGACATGCCAATACAAATACAAGAAGCACATAGAATACCAAATAGACAGGACCAGAAAAGAAACTCTCCATGGCACATCATAGTAAAAACACTAAGCGTATAGAACAAAGAGAGAATACTGAAAGCGGCAAAGGGAAAACAAGTCACATATAAAGGAAAACCCATTAGGATTACAGCTGACTTCAGTACAAACTATGAAAGCCAGAAGAGCCTGGACCAAAGTATTCCAAGTTCTAAATGACCAAGATGCCAACCCAGATAACTTTACCCAGCCAAAGTGTCTATCATAGTTGAAGGAAAGAAAAATCTTCCATGACATAAATAGGCTGAAAGAATTCATGTCCATAAAACTAGCACTTCAGAGTATTCTGGAAGCAATACAAAGAGCTGAAGAAAGGAACGACTATACACAAGAGGTGATGGAAAGAAATTCAATGAAGGTATAACTGTGGAAATGCACAGCTATATTAACAATGTGAACAGAAATAAAAATGACAGGATTCAATACACATCTTTCATTAATAACTTTAAATGTCAATGGACTGAACGCCCCAGTCAAAAGACACAGACTGGTTGAACGGATTAAGAAACAAAATCCATCTTCTTGTTGTCTGCAAGAAACTCATCTTACTTTCAAGGACAGGCACTCCCTTAAGGTGAAAGGATGGAAAAAAAAATATATCAAGCAAATTGTACAAGGAAAAAAGGTGTTGCAATTCTAATATCTGACAAAATAGACTTTAAACTAAAACTAATCAGAAGAGGGCCCCTTCATTCTGATCAAAGAAACAGTTGACAAAGAAGATATTAAAATCATGAACATTTATTCACCAAACTCTGGTGCACACCCAACTTCATGAAAACATTACTCCAGGACTTTAAGACCCAGATTAATCCCAACTCATTAATAGGTGGGGTCTTCAATACCCATTGTTTCCATTAGATAGGTGTGATGGCTAATCCTGGGTGTCAACTTGATTTGATCTGAGATTAACTGAAATGAAAGAGATCCTCTTGATTGTATCATCTAAAGCTGGAAGACACACCCTAAATGTGGGCGTTACCTTCTGATGGCAGCCGGTATAAAAGACCAAGGCAGAGCAGAATGCCAGGCTTTTTGCTGCTTGCCTTCTCTCTCGCTGGTGAGTTCGTCTTGCTGCTGTAGACTGAAGACTAGCTGATATTTTGGAATTTGTCAGATCTTCAGCACCAGATCGGGACTACTGAGACATCCAGCCTTGTGGACTGAGCGACTACGGATTCTCAGCCTCTCTGG